CAAAAATTTAAAAGTGCTTTAATGACACACAAGCTGGAAATGTTGAACAGAGATTATAAGTGTCATTCGAATAAATATTGACGTTATGACTCCAATGAGATCCAGTGAAACAAGCAACATTACGTGCCCTTCATGGCGAAGTCTGTAACCTACTGATTAAAATGTAACTTAAATATTTTTTCTTGGTTGTGAGGTAAATAAACAGTACACTTGAAATTAAGTAACTCTTGTTTTGTTTGAAGCAACTGTACAGGAATTAGGATATATAATTGCCATCTTAATTTTTTGTCACCAATGAATAGCGTCCCTATTTTTTTAGTGGCTATCGGCACTGCGGCAGTACCGATTTGGCAGTGCCAAAAAATGCTGCTGTTTTCTATCGGCACTGCCGCAGTGCCAAAAAGTTGCTGTTTTCTATCGGCACTGCCACAGTGCGAAAAGCTGCTATTTATTAATCGAATCGATGTTTTTATCAATGGATGACATTGGTATAATTCATAATTCATAATTTTATTTCACTCAAAATGTAATGAGACTGGTTAGGCAAAAACATGTCGCTGTACAAGATGCCTTCCAGAGAAACAATGATAATGTAATGGCAAAGACATAATAATAGTAGTAATAATAATAATAATAATAATAATAATAATACAGATAATAATAATAATAATAATAATAATAATAATAATAAATAAATAATAATAAAAAGTAAATGATAATAATAATAATGAATAAAGATCAAAATATATCATTGAAGTGAATTATTTATTAAAACAAGATTTGGAGGGCTGGACTGTCATGAAGGTGTTGTTGCTGGGAAGCAGCCAATTCATATTCTTGACAGCAATTTGACCTCTGAAAGGTCATTGTTTGTCAAAAAACGAGTGCCTAAGACGACTGAAAAGCCGAGTTTCCTTCATTCATTCTGCCGGGTAAAATCAATTACTTTAGGCGACGTTTGTAGACTAACCTACTCGTACCAACGTCCACATGTCACGCTAGCCTTCCTACTCTAGGCATAGACTAGCTAGGATGGTATAAGCCTTGAAGGGACGAAGGTCCCAATGAAAAACAACGTCGCTCTTTGATAGCTAACATTGTCTATTTAACATCACAATAATTCATTATTAAATCTATAGTTGTTTCTTGAATTGTACTCCACAAATCTCAGCCGATACCTCGCACAACTCGCTAAC